CGAACAGTTTAGTAGGGCAGCACAAACTCAAAAGCATCGTTTCAAAAAAATTTATTACAGGACTCTTTTAAGATTCACCTAAACAATAAGTAACTTTTTTTCTCTTTAAGCTGCAGACGAGTTGTCGTTAAAGTTACTTCCAAACAACATCGCGTGATTGCTTTCATATCACCTCTCGCTACAGGTCACGCATCTTAAGATTGAAACAAGACAGACACTGCAGATTTTCCGCACCTCACATTGCAGTTAAAGACTTTCCGTTTTCGCCTGGTGATCTCTTTATTTTGCACCTTTCCTCTGGCAAAGAAAGATAATGTTTTCCCTTCTATAGTAGTAACATAATCCTTCGTGGTTTTTTGTATATTTGGGCATATCAGCGTCAGATAGCGATTTCTGCCAAAACTACGAATGATGCGTTCGTCTTCTTATATTTTCAAAGTTTTTTAGTGGCAGGAATCCGCCTCTCCCACCCACTACCCCTTTGAAACTCTAACCTTCCACGCTCGTAATTGCGACTTAATCCCAATCAAAACTTTCCTCCTTCTCATGACTAATTGTTGGAATCTGATCAGTAGAGCTAAACTGTAAACCAAGCCTTTGAGTCTGTTCCTTTGACGTCTCAATCGTCTACCCGTCCAAAGACTGGGCCAGAGAGACTGCCATAGATGGACCTGATCAGAATATTGTACGCAATTAACACATAAAGAGAGAGTCGGATAATCTTGCGGGGATTAAACAAACAAACTCTGCACCTAATTTTCAATTACGAGATGGTTGTATTCAAATGTATTCAGCTGAAGCTACAAAGGAAAAGCATAAAATTTACCAGATAAATACTTTATAAAGCTATACTGAAGAATTATTGACCGTATTCCTATGACTTGCAATTTATCTTTGTCAAACTCAATAGTAATAAATCTGAATATAATCTTGAGTCAAACGCTCGGAAAGACTCGCTTCATGTTGTTAGCGGTCGCTCATTATTTATCGCCTATGGGGGGGGGGGGGGGGTTGGTTACGCCATGATAAAATATATGATTCCCCCTCATTGACAGTGAATTGGTGGTCAATCTTACACTCTGTTAGAGACGACTGATCACCCTTCCTTCCTTAAAACCAGGTGACCCCCCCCCCCTCAATCAAAAAAAAAAAGGAAGAGGAATCTCCCATCCCCCGGTGGTAAATAAAATGTTTGGTCTCTAAAACTCTTTTCATGACTGTGGGAGCAAGATGGGTTGACATTCACTCTGACACCTCAGTTTGTTATCCATTGGCCGAATTTATTTAAAAAATTATTTCCTACATACCCTAATTTAATACACTATTCTCTTTCTTAACCTGTATAACTGGTTTCTTTCGTCTTTCACCACAGGTATTTTAGCATTATCTCGACCAAATCCTTAGCATTCAAGCAAACTTCTTCCATCCTGTTTCCTTAATATCGCATGTGAATGGAGTCGCTTTGGTAACAAAAGTGTAATAATAATGACGTGGTACACTTCCTTTATTGGAATGGAGCAGATATTTCAACAGAAATCTCATCTTTGAAAACGAAGTTTCGAAAAAGTTACACAGCTTACTGCAAACGGCTTGATTGTAATTCCATTATAGGGTGCGTGGATTAAAACGACTTTCAAAAGAAGGAAAAGCCATCAGGGTTCTTAAATCAGTTCACAACTTGTCACTTGAAATAATTTTCCCATGGTTAATATGTAATCTGGATTGCTTCATGTCCTTCAGGAAAAAGAAGAGTCAAAGCTCTCTTTAATTTTCCCCTGAGGTGGCCGGCTCACCAGGAAGAAACAGGAGATCGTTCGGTCCAATAACGTTGGTCTGTAGAGATTATCAAGCTAATAACTGAGAAGATTGTGCCCTTTGGTTCATCAGTGACAGCATTAATTATTTCAAATCTGTATTTCTCGGTCCAACCGACACTAAAAATAGTTCCTTTGTAATTTTGTAAGCACTTTCTATAGCATTTTATTGTCAAGGAAAATAAATCTCAAGGCTCAAAGCCAATATAACGTTCGAGCACGTGAAAGACTCCCTGAAAAAAGCTAAATTTTTGGAAATTGATTGTGATGAAATCCCTGTTCCGTTTACTGTACTGCAGGGATACTGAGTAGTTCAAAATCTCCACTTGGTGATGATTTTCGTGCAAGTCGTACAAATTGCTATTGTGGCGATCGAGGTTTTCTTCTTCTTTTTGGTTGTTTTCACCTAGAATGCGCAGAAATCTGCTGATATTTCGAAAAATGTCCATTTCTCGTCTTCTATGGGGCGACCGATGGAAACTTCATGGAGAAATACGGATTCACGCTTTGTGACAACGTACATGTTAATGACAAATGACCGGTGTGAGGATAGTTTCGTGTAGATCAGCCGACTTCAACATGTCTTAAATGACATACAAGTATAACATTGTATCTTCAGAGGACTTCAGATCGCTCAAATTCCCTTAAAAGAAGGTGCAGCATTCGGAATCTGGATGATCTGGTATATGTTTGTTGCTACGTCGAGTAGTCCTCCATGAAGGTTGATCAATTTTTTTTTAAAGATGACTACTAGAGGTGAGATTTCTCTTCGGGATATTGCTCATAAGATAACATTCTTTCAAAGCCTTGAATGTTTCATTTTTCTGAAACATTTATTGTTGAGAACATTAGATGTAAACATCGCCAAATTATGCAATATCTGATTTTGAGCTTCGTTCGCGAATTTCCTCCATAAAAAGTAGAGGCAGGCCCGCAGAGATTTTTACATATTTAATAACTAGAATATTATAACCAGCTAGGTGGGTAGTTTCAGTTGCAGAATCGGTGCACTTTTGGAGAAATTCAGATAAACGTTTTCCCTGTTTTACCCGACAACAAAAATGACCGAAACTGTACCGAGATGAATAATCTATTGGTGTGTTCACATTCACTCCCAGGGAAAATTGAATGAATCAATGTAGAGACGAGTGATGTTACTATGTATGATAGAAGTGCCAATTTGTAATGTTTTATTTAGCTTGAGATAGAGAAATAAAAATTTCACTCTTTTTTTGCGACGTTTTTGTGTGAAAACGAGGCCCTAGGCCTCGAACAAGCAGCCGCTGTTACCATGGCAACAAGAGTGCTGCGACCTTTATAAAGGGTATTTTTGTGCATCCCCCCTGAGCGCCTAACTGCATGCAAAATTTGAAGGGGGGTTGGAAATTTTCATTCCCCAAGATGTTTGATTCTTACAGGGACTTGTTCTTAATTCGGCTGTTTCGTCCTGGTTAGCAGCTAAACCTCGTCGCAAGCGCCCTCCAAAGGTTTTCAACACAGCACCACCACCAGGTCCAGGATCTGCAAATGAGGATGTTCCAGTGATAATTGTACATGATGTTGGTGTACAGGCAACTGATGATGACGCCCAGTTATTCTATTCTGTTGAGGAAGAGGTAGAGGAAATCTCCAAAGCCTTGGAGCTGCCAGATTTGGATGCCGAAGATTCTGATTGTGGCTCTGACTTTGAGTTTTCATAAACTACAAAAAGTGTCAGTTTCACACTTTATCACTTTATAAGCTGAAGTTAAAGGCCCATTTCCAACCTTGAGCCAACGCGGTCGTTTGTTTTCGTTTTGAACCACCGCTTTTGTTTAAATAGCGCCTCTGATTGGTCAGTTATTTTTACCTTGTCAGGTCTCAAAATACCTTCTGCCTTTTCTCCGATGAATTTGAAGAGCTTATCAAAATAATTCTGTTTAAAACAGTTCTATACGTTTTAATCCGGTATGGAATTGGATGAATCTATTGATTTAGTAGATTCCGAGGCAGTAAACGCTTATGGATCGGTTGTTGCTAAAGAGAAACGCGAAAATCCTTGCGAGCATTTCGAAGAAGGTGAAAATGTTGATCCACCACGTTTTCATTCATTCATCAATTTTTTTAATTGAAGTTTGCCATCCTTGTTAAATATGACCAAGGGTCAGTTGAAGTTTCCTGCCCGTGGAGAGGAACTTGCGCTCAAAAGAGTGGTCGGGGTTGTTGTCCATGCAAAGCAGCAAATAAGAATTGTAACGCAAACTGTCAGTGTCGCTGACGTTCGAGTTCCTGCAATGAAGTGACTACACTTAAAATAATTAAACGTCCGGCAGTGCGATATTTTTCTATATTTCTCTTCGAAATCCAAAAAAATATTTATATGAAAATGTTCTACCTTTATGTACAATCCTCAAGCGCCTCCAGGCAGCCTAAAATTTCGAACTTGATGTTTCTCGCTAACCCTGTATAGAGTACGAAGCCATCCAAGCGCTTAAAATTTCAATGACACGGCTGGACACGGTCCTTAAACAACTCCATATTTCTCTTTGAAATATACTAATTTTTCACTAGAAAATATTCTACCTTCATTTACAATCCTCAAGCGCTTCTAAAAAGTGAAAAAATGCCAACTTTCTCCGTTTCGCTGACCTTGTACACAGAGTACGAAGAGATCCAAGCGTGACACTAAGAAAATTTTCACCAGACACTACCGGACACGGTCTTCAAATAACTAAACGTCCGGCAGTCTGATATTTTTCCATATTTCTCTTTGAAAAATACCAGTTTCTATCGGAAGTATTTTGTCTTCATTTAGAATCCTCAAGCGCTTCTAGAAAGTGAAAAAATTTGAATATTGTCCTTTTCGCCGACTCTTCACAGAGTACGAAGAGCTCCAGGCGTGACACTTAAAAAACTTTTTCTTAGGATTCTTCAAGACAAAATTCAAAATACTGTAAGGAAACAGTGAAATAACGAACGGCGAATGTATTTACCGTAAAACTGTTGACTATATGTTCAGGATGGCTCTTGAGAAGGACGATTTTAGAAGGGTTTCAGTGATCTGGGAATTTCGTGTTACAGGAAATTGGATCGCGGCGCGAGTTGCATCAAGGTTGGAAATGGGCCTTTAACTTGTAACTGTAGGATAAAAAGAGGCTCCGAAAACAACAGTGAAATAAACAAATTCTCCCAGAGGACCATTTTTTTTTTATTATAATAGATTAAGTATGCATAATTCCAAGAAGATTTCTTCTCCAGATTGCAGGAAAATGCGTTTCTGGGAGACTTTTCTTTTAAAAATTTCCCGGGGGAGCATGCCCCCGGACCCCCCTAGAAGTTCGGGCCTTCGGCCCTCAATTTTCCAAGGTACCTGCCTACTTTAAAGGCAGTGCCCTTCTACTTGAAAGTTGTTTAAACCCTGCTTTAATTGCCTAAGCAAGACATTCCATTCTAACACAAATCAAACTTGGTTAGCGTCTTGTTCACTTTCATTGCCTCAGCAATACATGTAGCACCCGCATCACTAATACCATTCCCAGACAAATACAAATTGGTTAGCGTCTTGTTCACTTTGATTGCCTCAGCAATACATGTAGCACCCGCATCACTAATACCATTCCCAGACAAATACAAATTGGTTAGCGTCTTGTTCACTTTGATTGCCTCAGCAATACATGTAGCACCCGCAGCACTAATACCATTGTTTCGCAAATCCAAATTGGTTAGCGTCTTGTTCACTTTGATTGCCTCAGCAATACATGTAGCACCCGCAGCACTAATACCATTCCCAGACAAATACAAATTGGTTAGCGTCTTGTTCACTTTGATTGCCTCAGCAATACATGTAGCACCCGCAGCACTAATACCATTGTCAGACAAATCCAAATTGGTTAGCGTCTTGTTCACTTTGATTGCCTCAGCAATACATGTAGCACCCGCATCACTAATACCATTCCAAGACAAATCCAAATTGGTTAGCGTCTTGTTCACTTTGATTGCCTCAGCAATACATGTAGCACCCGCAGCACTAATACCATTCCCAGACAAATACAAATTGGTTAGCGTCTTGTTCACTTTCATTGCCTCAGCAATACATGTAGCACCCGCATCACTAATACCATTGAATCGCAAAGACAAATTGGTCAGATTCAAACCAGTTCCAAACGACTGCGATAAATGCGAGTGAAAATCACTTTTTTCTCTTTTGCATTCGTTGATGGCCTCCAATACAATTTTTGCACCACGGCCTTCATTTTTGTTGACTCCATTTGTTAAACTCTTTACAAGAGCCACAACCTTTTCATCGCATTTCATGGCCAAAATTCCACACGAAAACAAAAGTATTTGTTTAAGTTCAACGAAATACCTTGGATCGGAAACTAGTTCTTCAGGTTTCATTTCCTTGCTTTGAATCTGAGAACAAATGAAGAATGCTGCAAAGAATTCTTGAAAACTTTTATGTAAGAAGGCATAATGCAGTGTTTGTCTCAGTTTGCTGCCACCACGCTGCACTGACAGAAACCCAAATTCAGTCAAGTCTTTTGCATGGTTTCTCAATTCACTTTCATTTAAATCCAGCTTATCGTCGAGTAAACCATTCAACGCTACCTTTCCAAGGTGATTCAATTGCGGTTTGTAATGGTTTGTCAGGTCTTCGATCTTTTCTAATAGTCCCTTCTTTTTTCTATATCTTCTCAAAACACATTCAACCATATCCAAGTACAGTTGAGCTCTGCTTTCGGGGAGTGTGCCCTCAAACTCTTCGCATAAAAGGCAAAGAAGTGCTGTGTTTAGAGGATTGGCCGCTATTTCTCTCAGGTTTTTATCTCGCGACATCCGTTGCGAGAGCTTGGTGGCTAAATCCGTCCTTTCTTTAAAGTACTTGGTGACAAATTCTATCACATGCTTTTCAGTGAATCCTTCGATCTGAAGCAGCGCGTCACAACATTTTCTCACCTCTTTTCCAGCTTCTTGTCTTGCTGTTGCAACTATGTGGCATTTAGGGAGTTCTCTTCCTTCAATTAATTTGGAAAACATCGACAATTTCCCGGATGGTAACTCATCCAATCCATCCAATATCAATAAAATGCTGGACTGATTTTCACGAATAAACTGAAAAAATTGTTGTTTGACTTTTTCATCGATGCCTAGGGGCAGCAGCTGATCATCAATGGCTTCCCAAACGTCAGAGTGGATATCTCGACATTTCAGCAACAATACCAATTTTAATGCTGTTGAGCCGCAGCCCTGAGGTGCTTGCTGTTTTGTGGCCCAGTCGTAGGCGTACTTTTTACAGTAGGTGGTTTTTCCCATACCAGGTTCTCCTTCAATCAACACCGTTCTCGGCGCTGAACACTCTTCATACGGGTCTAGTATTGACGACATGTCAACAAATACGTCAGTGATTTGTCCTCTCGTTTTCTTTCTTCTGACCACTTTGAGCCTTGTAAAAATATTTCCAAGAAAAAACTGAAACTCTTCACACCATGGAAATGGTGAGAGCCATCCCTCGCGAGTCTTGTACAGCTGGCGAATTCCATTGATAAGTTCAGTTGGATCAAAAATATCTAGTAGTAGCAAAATAAGTAAGAAATCTAATGAATGCAGCGTTGAAAATTATGATACCTCTCTGGTATTCGGCACTGAATTTAAATATGCGAATGAGTACGATACCGTTGCCAAAGAAATTACTAGGACTACGCAAAAAGGTTTTAGTGTATGATTCATGCTTACTGATTAAAAGCCATTTAGATTATGAATTCAGTTGAACCTCCTCTGTTTGTTCGGCTTTACCGGTGTCTAACAGTGAATTTCTGTTGTAAAATAAATTACACGGGAGATAGATATTCATATTATTGGAGCCATAATCTGAGCAAGGCTTTTTCGGGATATAGCGAGACTACGAACTAATAAATGAAAACCAAACAACGCCTTTCTGCCTTCTTTGTCACGCGGTTTCATCACAAATGTTGCAGAAAACTGGAGGCTCGCCTGCGATGAAGTGGAAAGTTTTGCCAACAGTCTTTTCTTCCTCAGGAAATGTAAAATAACCACATACATCTTATTCTAACCTATTTTACTAGAGATGATCCTCATTCAACTATTTTCCCATGTAGAATTGAATACTTCACAATATGAGCGAAGGAAGGGTTTAGTTACTTTATTCAGAAATATGCGGATCACATTTAATGCTGCTAGGTATTCGGCACTGAATTTAAATAAGTGAACGAGTTCGACACCATTGCCAAAGAAATTACTTGGACAATGACGAAAAGGTATCAATGTATGATTCATGTTAATTTAATGACCAAAGGCCATTTAGCTTATAAATGCCGTCGAACCTGCTCAGTTAATTTCGAACATGGAGCCGAACTTAATGCCAATATTTTCGTCAAAACTGTACTTTATTTTTATAGCGTTCTCCTTCTTAATAAAAATGTAATGTTTCCGGGCTAATTACGGGTGAAAGTTTAAATAATTGAAGGGAATGAAAGCACACCACAGAGACTATTCCAGAGATTGTTTAAATTGAAAAACTGAATCTCTCTAAGATAGGATGATCTCTCTCTTACATACAGAACATTGTTAACTACGGCTAAATTTGCGGTTAAGCAGGATAACTTTTATTGTATAATTCAACTGACCTTCATTCTTACTTTCTCCCACAGGGGTTGCCAAAGTACACAGCTTTTCCTTCACTTCTTTAAGTTCATTGTCCATCTTTGCCATTTCGCTTCTCATTTTCTCAAGAGACCCTTTCGTGGAATAACATTGGAAATTTTTAGTCCGAGTGAGAGTCACTTTATATATTAAAAGTTAACTAAATAGATCCTTTTCCCTTCCTTTGTGTTTTTTTTTAATTCTATACAACATTCTAAAAAACCTTTGGCCCAGCTTCAGCGGTTTCTAATAGTGAAACCTAAGATATAAATATTGATATCATTGGAGCCGATAGTCTGAGAAAGATTTTTGTCAGTAAAAGCGACATTGTAAGAACTAATTAATAAAAACCAAAGAACGCCTTTCCGCCCTCTCATTTCTCCTTAGGTCTTCAACAAAAGTAAAATTAGTATAAGGCTATAACCTTCTCGGCTAAATATGTATGAGTGCTGTCAGAAAACTATCCAACACCGTGAGGTAGTCTCACATCCATACCATCCCATTCATCCCACACATTACCAAGTATCTTCATTTATAGCCAGAGCAGGTTAAAAGCCAAGGTGTGCTCTTACAACAATACATTACCTAAAAAAATGTTAAATTGTCTGACATCACGCGAATAATGTGGTCATGCTCAGAAGATGTGTTAACAGAATCCCTGTTGATAGTTCAGTTTATGTGTGAGTAGCTCTTTCTAGTAACC